GTTTTGCAGAGCAATTAGACTTCAAACAATACTGGGGGGGGGGGGGGGGGGGGGGGTAGTTTCTTTCTCCTCACCCCCTCTCGCTCCCTCTCTCTTTTTACTTTTTCTCAAAAATTCACATAGGGTTTGTGATGGTCGTCATGGTTACACTTGGACTCAAAGCCACGACAAATTGTCTAGACTAGATGACAGCGGCTGGCGTGAGAGTGTTGCTTGGAATGAAACGTTCTTCTATAGATCCGTGTTTCCCAGAAAGACGGGGAAAAAAAAAAACAGATCGAGCACAAAAGGACGAAAACCACAAAACGTCTTTTAAAAAGTATACACCGTTCGCAATATCACACTGTCCCGAGGATGTTGCGCGTTTTTCTACCTTATTCCTCTTCAGCAACGAATTTGAAGGAGTTCAGTTTGGGGACTTCAAAACGCACACCCACAATCCGCAATTTAAATTAAAATATATATATAGCTGTTTTGCAGCCTCTGGTTTTGTGACGATTTTGCAATCAAACTGAAATATTCCAGAAGTCTTCTTCGCAGGATCCAGGGAATTATATTCGAATATGTCCCCTCTTATCCTCCGCAAACTTTCCCATTAAATCGTCAGTACACTGTAACTGTGGATCTGAATCCCATTCTTGATCCACGCTGTACAAGTCGGTCCACGCCAAAATGCAAGCTGCTCCTCTTCTTCCAAAGAGTACATTCCACGAAGAGGCAGAGAAGTGAAATGCCTCTTTCACGGAGAAAACACGTTGAAAACTCGTAACTGCTGAGGTCTGACCACCGCTGTTGAGTCTTCCACTAGTTTCACAAACTCAGCTGCACGCAATCCATTTTACGCGTATAATACTTTTCACTTTTCTTCAAGCAGACACTCTTTCTCCTCCTCTGTGACATTGATCTCTTCTTCAGTTCTTTTGCTAATTAACAGAAACTAAAAGCCGTGCCACCGGTGCATGGTCAGGCTGCAGTCCGAGTAGAGGAGACTCTGGGTCGGTGAGAATTGGTGCCAGTTCCCGGGGAACTCTCATCCCCTTGATAGCTGGTACAGTAGCTTCAGTTACAGGGGGATCCGAGACTGGCTTTGCAGATTTCTTTGCCTGTGCACACTGTGTGAGAGTGTGTCTCTGTTGCGAGCAGAGCTAAATCCCAAATTAAATATCCCCCTCCGATGGTACAAAGTGTCAGCGGGTACTGCCCACTCCTGTCACTTTCACTGTGATTGACAGCCCCCCCAACCCCCCCTCCCCCGTCAAAAGAACAACCTCTCCCAGTGATTCCACCGGGTCCTAAAGACCCCCCGAGCAAAAACTGCTAGTACCGCTAGAAAAGTTTAATGCCTATAGCATTCCTATAGCTTTATCCAACTATATCATAGAAATCTCAGAAGACTGAATAATCCCATTGACAGATTTCTCGTTGCCAAGCTTTATTAAACATATAGTTGTCAAACCGGACGCACAGGTGACTGCACGTCGACACACGCCACAGATAATGGACTCAAAGCGAAGTCCATTTTCTTCTTAATTGAACCACTTCTTCATTTCTAACATCCAGCTGAGAAAGACCGCGATTCGGTTCAGCCAGCCTGCTAATATTAAACGTCAAGCTGTATATCCTACATGAGCCTTTCATGAAGAAAACATTTTCCAATACACGATATCCAGACTGCATGAACTGCCTTCGTGTAAAAAGTTGATAATAAGGCAAAGAGAACAATTGACTATACGTTTTTTTTAAATTACAGGCTACCAATTTGAATAGCTGAACGACATAAAATTGATATAGCTGAACTACTTAAAATTGATATAGCTGTAAAATTGCGTTTCTCGTTCTTATTTCAATTTGCACTGTCAACAGCGAATACAGATATACATACAAAATAAAACATGCATTTTGTAGGGAAACATTTATTTTCAGAAGTCGCCGCACTGGATTTGTTAGGTGTTAGGAAAACAGTTTAATAAGCTAATGGAATACAACAAATATATATTACATGGAATTAATGCGGGAACATAACGTAGCGATTTGAATATCTAGTCCATAACTTTTCATTATGTAAAAAGGAGAGTACAATCAGATATCCTTTCAGTACAAAGATGCAGTTAAAAAGGTAAAATGCAAAGTCGAATATTAATAGGGTTGGAAGAAACTTGCAACTGAACAATTCCACCTTCAAAATCAATTCCTATTTTTGTTATGACAGCGATCTTTTTTTTAAATAAATACCGACTATGACATTTAATACTTGAGACAATCGGGTAAAATTACAATCCGCACTTCTTTCACATAACATGCATTTCCCCAGTCAAAACGTTTTTCACTTCGGATCAATTTACCTCTTCTAAACTGGTGCTATTTCTTTTAGTTAACATTTACCCTTTTAACCATACTGTGACGTTTGCACAGATCCTCACAGTTAAAGCTGATTCGTATTTTCTTAAAAAAAAACCCGTAATAACAGCATTTATCGTAAATTCATGCTTAAAGAAATTACAAGCCTCTACTCTTTTGTATGTTATTTTACCTGATGTGATGGTCTGCAGGTTGCAATTGGTGGACGGTATCACACTCTATCCTTAAATAATTATATAATAATCAGCATTAATCATTTGTTCTCTTGTAAGGCTTGCTTTCTGGTTTTCCCTCACTTATTCCACTCAGTCATCACCCAAAACAGCTTTCGATTGTATTTGATGTTGCCTCTGCAATTTTAAAAGTTCATCGGCTGTGCCCGAGAACTTTAAGGGGCCTAAAAGGTTTTACTCCAAGGCCACCAGAGGGCATTATTCCGGCATTAGAGAACAGGTAAAGTCAGAATGTTATAATGAGGATCTCCATAGAGCCGAGCTTCCCGCCCAAATTCAGCTGTCACCAATGGTACCAAAATGCCCAGCTCACAGAACAACAGCTTTAAAAGCATAAATTGCCATAAATCGCCTTTACGTGTTGCTTATTTCAACTCTCTGAGCTGACTTTCAAATATTTCATATGCCCAGAGTAACACTCCTAAATATAAAATGGCATTACAGTGGATTTATTTAATTGCTTCTATAGTTTTGAAAAGACCGCACTTAGTTCGAGCCTTCCTTGGTTCCTGCAGAAAAAGTCCCCGGAAATGTGAAAATTTTCAGCCCCGACCGTGTTTGCGCATTTTTGCAAAACGGCAGGAGCTACACCGATGCCATGCGATTTCAAGCACAACTGCAGTGTTGAAGTTGTCAGAAACCCATTCTTCAAATTTGTACCATTTTCTTAAGCAGCAAATCATATCATAACCGTGTTTTGTCTTTTCAGAAAAAAAAGCATTGTTCAGTGGAGTCAGCTGAGGACAGTATTATTCCGAAATTAATGCGGACTATTAAGCAGAGACGAGCACGGCAATAGTGCTTTCCTGATTTGCAGAGCAACCAACTATCCGACACGATAAAACGCAAGCACAATACTCATTGGACAGCTTATCAATCTGAGGCGTCACTTTGGCATTAACAATGTTTCTGTTTGTTAGTCACAATAACGGAAGTGTTTAGGGTGTGTTAACAACAATAGCCACAATTATTATTTATTATTATTATGGTCCACAAACGTAAGAAGGAAGGAAGCAGTAGGTTACTGTATGTGAGCTCCCTGCAGCAGCACCGACCAGAAGTTTCTCCAGCTACAGCGAGATCATCACTGTCTGTGCAATGATCTGCAACCTTGGACGTCAGAGCCCAAATCCAGCAAGGACTTTTAGGACACCATTGCATCACTGCTTTCTAGAACTTAGAGCTATTCAGACCTCAAGAACCAGTGCTCTCGTAATTGAACAGATTACTTGATTCATCAGCACCAGTATGCTGAGGGTGATACCAGTCTATAAGAACAGGTGACATATAAGACTAACTTGATTGGGGATCTCCAGGACCTGTTTTGGAGACCCGCAATCAAGGATTGGTTAAATGGCCTGGTGTAATTTGGCTAATGGGTCTATACATCACTTATAATGATTATTAGGGGAGAATTGGACGCAGTGTCATTCTCATCTCCACATCCCTTTCTACACATCATCGATTAAGACTCAATGACAAGCAGCTTAGTGAGCGACAGTTTAAATTAAAAGTTGAGAAAGAAATGCTTGCTGCATTTCTTGGAAATAATACTCACGGCAGAGGTTACTCATGAAATAAAGACCCGAGTGCAGAGCACTGTTCAAATTGGGCTGTTGCTTAAGCTGAGGGCTCAACACTTCCAACCAAGTAAGCGCTCAGCTGGACCACGAACAAGAGGCAAAGGTAGTTCAGGGGGAGGGTAGTAGCTCCAGGAGAAATGGTACTTCAGTAGTACTGACTCTTGTTACTACTGGTCCATAAGAACAAACAGAGGCACTGTCACAGACAGGCTCTATAGTCTGTGTCGGATGTTATGTTAGACCCTATGCAAAGTGGTAAGAGCTGAAGGAGACAGGAGGCGGAGTACGGGAAGACACACGGGGGTTTAATGGTGCAGTAAAGTAACAGGGATAGTCTGTGAGACAGTGAACGGGGAGACAAAGAGGCATCCAAAACTGAACAGGTCCAAAGGCAGGTCAGGGCACGGGCCATGAGTCCGTCAACGGGAGATCCATCCTCTGACGCGACAAGGTTAAAATCCCTGGGAAGGGGGAACACACGGAAAACATTGAGGTCCTTGGATGATGGGGGGCAAGTTTCTCCAGAACCCTGGACTCAGAACACAGGAGGTGTCAGGGATGAGGCCTGTGCCCTCAGGAGACGGACGTAGGGTATCCTGGTGCCAAGCGGGCCTCGTGACTTCTGGACCCTAATGCTGAGCCCTGATCCCTGGAGGAGCTAAGGATAAATAGGGGGAGACACAACAAGGCACACCTGGAACACATACAAAACAATCACTG